TTCAGTATTCACTGACCAATCGCTCTGAACCTCAGGTTCCTCATCTCTAGGATGACCATGATCCTAAGGATTCCAAATCGCAGACTTGTCAAGAGGATCAGATGGGATCAGATACTTTGGTTGGTTGGTATTTTAGGGAAGGGTCTACAGGGTGCTCAGGGTCTTACTACTAGATCAGACTCGCAGTGATCTGCCTGTTTACAGCCTCCCAAGAGCTGGGATCACAGACGTGCACCACCTCATCCAGCCTCAATTGCTGTGTCAGCGCACCCCAGGGCAGGGCTGCCACGGCAGGCCCAGGAATCGAACCTCTGACTCCTGCACCTGCTCACAGGGGCTTTAATCCACTGAGCTATTTGGCCGGCCCTGATCATGTACTTTGAAAACGATAATCTGCTACGCAAAGGCCATTAGCTTTATTTTGAGTCAAGAGGAGCCTGGAGAATGTGTCAGCACTGCTTAGAATGTCAAGAAGTTGAAGTGGGGAAAGGATTTTAATTTTTATTTTGAGACAGGGTCTCACTAAATTGCCTAAGCAGGGCCCACACTGTTGATCCTCTGCCTCAGTTTGGAAGGATAATTGGTTTTGTTGTTGTTTTTCTTCATAGTGCTGAGGATTGAACTCAGAGCCTTAGGTATACCAGGCCAGCATTCTACCACTGAGCTATAGCTGTCACCCTGGTTTAAGATGATCTTAAAGGCCTTTTCTGTTTTTATAGTCGTGCAGCCTTAGGACATTGCCCAGAACAGTAAATAGTACCGAAAGTTGCCAACCGTGACGGTCACCACTGATGTCTGTTCCAGTGTGAGGTGGACCTAGCGACCCGGTCCTCGGCTCCCTGGCCGTGCCAAGAACCTCCCAGGGCTGCTGTGAGTCGCAGGTGCGCAGGTCAGCACCGTGCGCATTGGATGCGGGGTGCAACTGACTTCCTCCCTCCCTCCTCTGCCTGCAGTCCTCCCTCCCTGCCACCCTCTTTTCCTTCCTTCCTTCCTTCCTTCCTTCCTTCCTTCCTTCCTTCCTTCCTTCCTTCCTTCCTTCCTTCCTTCCTTCCTTCCTTCCTTCCTTCCTTCCTTCCTTCCTTCCGTGGTTCTTCCTCCCTTTGGTGTGGTGGGGAGAGAGGGTCATTCTGGCCGCCGCCTGCTGCTGGTGTGAGCCCTCCTCTGCGGGAGCAGCCACTGTCCCCCAGAATCGCCCTCTGCCGGCTCTGCCCAGTTGCAGCTTAAGGCACACTGACGACCTTGAAGGAGGCGCTCGTTAACGTGGAGATCCCTGGCAACCGGTGAGCGGTCCTGGCTGGCCCTGGCAGTGGTGGCAAATGCTGAGCTCAGCCACGCCGTCTGCCCTGCACAAATGAGCGGCAGACACGTGTGCTTTGTGCCTTTAAGAGGCGCACGAGATCGCACTCTCGTGTGCACACTGCTTTGCAGGCTGTTGGAAGCTCTGCTGTTCACACTCAGAGACGGCATGCAGGGCTGTAAGCCAGTTCCTGCCCCTTGGCCCCAGTGGCTGAGCTGATCAAGATTTTCAGCAGAAAAAGAGAAGAAACCCCTTTCCTGTAGCAGATTCTGGAAGGCTCCTACTTCCTGGAGCCAGTGTTCCTGCACCCTCTTCCTGCAGAAATCTGCTGTGGGATCCCCTGGCTTATGAAGTTTGAACGTCACTCACACCTGCTGTGATGTTTGTTTTTAGCTTCAAGTGACACAACTTTTCAGGATCAAGGTCCTCTTCCCACATTGGGCAATGTAGCTGTTCTCAGACATTTTGAGGGCCATACTTCAGCCCAAGCAGTGCTTGGAGAGGCGCTGTGTAGGGGCCTGTCTTCTGAAGGAAGCCCTGTGAAGTGTGCAGGGTAGATACATGCTAAGTCAGATGCAGAGCCCGCATGTGTGTGCTGGCCGCGTGGGAGCAGGAGTGCGGCGGCTGAAGCCTTGCTCGTGTTGCTTTCTCACTGCTGAAAGGAGTCTGGTTCCTCAGGTTGGCAGATGCAGAACAGCACTTGAGGCGCTCTCCCACCCTTCCCCTGCTTGTCCCATTCAGCAGGGGAGCCCACACAGCAAGATGGAGGGGCTGCGGGTTTCTGGTGGCTTTGCAGGTACATTAGCTTTTCAGCAAGTGCTAAGTACCTGCTGTATACAAG